ACCTGTGGTCCCTCAGAATGGTGTGTTGTCCCTGTGTACTGCAAAGAGAGTTGTGTTCCTTGTGATGTCGTGTCCCACAGTTCAGCACAGCATTCCAGGGAGATCCCAGTGTCTGCTCTCTGAGTTGATGTAGGAGCACATTACCTGTGCTGATCCCTTCTGCACTCTCTGCTTGCTTCCCAGCTGCTGTGGGAGACCACACAGTGCCTCCCACAGCTTTGTCCAGCCACGGGATAGCTCCAGCTTGTTAGGATAACAGTGTTGGAGGGAAAGGTGTGTCAGCTCTGTGCTTGATCACAGCCACAGAAACACTCCCTGTGCTCAGCTCCCCCTGGCAGTCTCCCTACAGTCCGTGCCATCCATCTGCCTGCAGGCCAGTCAGCCATTTCCTCTCAGAGCAGGAGCCTCTGCACAGGTTTCCCTGGGCCTTAAGAAGTTCCTGCTTTGGTTCCAGGATGGGTCATGGGAAATGGGGCTGTGCATTCACACACAGGGAGCAGGACAAGAGCCACGTTTGCAGGCAAGCATTGTTCAGGCTGTGTGCTGAAGTGGTACAATGTCCATTACATATTTGGAAAATTCTAGGTTAAAATGCCCTGGAAGCTGGGACAGCCTCCTTTTTAGGTGCTGTTAGAGAGCTGTGAGTGTTTGGTTCCTTTTCACTATAAGTCTGAAGAGTGAGTTTGTGACAAAAGGCCCTGAGCAGCTCAGGATGAGAGGCCCTGGTGCTGACCATGTCTCATTAGTGTTGGTCCTGAATGCGAGCTGCAGCTGCAAATTCCTTCTCTCCTGGGTGAGCCATCAGGTAACTCCATGTTTTCAGCTTTGGGTTTTAACCAGAGCAGCAATGCCCAGCCAGCTTAGAGAGGAAAAGTTCACAGGAGCTAATTTTAGGCACCTGATGTAGATGTTGTGGATCTCTTTGCATTCTCCATTACCTCAGCTGAGAGCCCGGGCGTTGATACTGGTATCAGAAATACTCAGGATGAATCCTGGGGGGATTAAGTTAGTTTGCAGGTATAAGCTTGCTGTCGTCTCCAAATCCTAACAAAAGCTGGTCTCTGCCACCCCAGCTCCCTTCACTGCAGCAGAGCTTGCCCAGGAGGCTGTGGAGGCTGTGAACTTCCCAGAACTCTGGCAGGAGTTGTTTGTAGGAAGGTTCGCACTCAGCAGAGATGGTGAAAGGCTGGGAGCACTCAAACTGAGCTTTGACACATCTGTCAGGGCTCACAGGGCTGTCCTGAGGCAGGCAGTGGGCTCACCACATCACTGCAGAGCTGGATTTGTGGCCTCTCATGTGTTGGGATGATGTTTCCTACCCATGGAAGTGATCAGTGCTCTTAAATTTGGGGGTACTACAGAATCACAGTGCAGTTGCCAGCAATCCTTTTAATACACCAGCTGTGAGAACAGCTCGGAGTTTCTCCTCTGAATGCAGTGTAACCAAGTTGGAACTCATTTCCAGAAGTGAGGCTAAACATGAATTCTTCTTGTCTGGAAAGAAATATTGCCAGCCTTGTATGTTACTGTGAAGTCCCAGGGATTGCTGCCCTCCCTGGGTACAGGAGGGGGATTTACATGAGTGCAGAGCAAGTCCCAGCCCCACGGGGACAGCTGGACAAACCTCTGTTTCTAGAAAAGCAGTACCTGAGAAGAGAGCCTTGGGGTGCTGTCCATGAGCAGATATCACCCTGGTTTGGCTTTGCTCACCCTTCCCCACATTCCATTGGGATTTACTCTGCTGGCATGGAGAAGAGGCTTAAAGTAAGGCAGGGGGGATAAGACTGGTGCTTGTATACCTGAGAAGCAGTTATGACATCTAACAAAAAAGCCTAGAAATCCCAGAGTTAATGCAATGATGAAGAGCCTGCAGAGGTTTGCTTTGTTCTTTCCTAAAAGTTTGAAGCTGACTTGGAGGTGAAGAGCAAATGTAGGTGGGTGAAGTGTTGAGCAGAACAGGGATGGTTTGGAACTCATTCTGTGCTTTACTTGGAGTCTTGGAATATTTTTTTTATTTCACCTGCTTTGAGATGGTAGAGTGCTGAGGATAGTGGGTGGAATGATTTGGGGGATTGATCTGCTTCAATTAAACATGCCTGTAGGGAAAACTTTATAATTCATACTTTTATGGATAAAACAAGTGCAAGGCTATTAAAGCAGGTATTTGCTCATATTCCAAATTTCGTAACTTAGAAAATATTTGAAGGAAGCTTCTCTATTTTTGTCCTGCTGTGCCCCCCTCGTTCCCTGTTCCCTAGAGCATGTTGGTGACAGACTCTTTCAGTGCATCTTTCCCCTCCTCTCCCTGCATTTCTCATTTGAAGCCATGGAATTTGGATAGTGTCTGTGTTCTGGTGCGTTTCCACCCAAGATCCTGTTTGTCTGGGTAGCAGTGCTGGGGAATAAAGGCTGTGTCAGCCATTTTCGGGAAACAAAAATGATGCACAACTTATTTTGAGCAAATAATTGTGTGAATACTCCAGTAAAAAATGGCAGAAGCTGATAACAACTTGTTCCTTTTCTAAAACAAAATGAAAAAGTAGCTTTTGTGACTTTGAAAGAATTGTATGTGCTAAGGAGGCATTTATTCCTGCTGCTATTCCTGAGTCTCCAAGGGTGAAAGGGATCCTTGCTAGAAGGGCTTGCAGGTGGGGGTGGTAGTGGAATATTAGTTTTGCTGCTAATAAACTTTCATAACTCAAGGACTTCTTCCTATCTGAGTACTGAAAATGTCATAAAATTTTCAGTGAAGTCACTTCACTGATTGCTTACCTTCTCAGTTTGTTTCTTTTTCCTTGGTTTACTGCTTCTCCAGAGTGTCTTCTAAAATCCCTGTGTATAATTAATAATAACTGATAATTGACTAGTAATTCCCTTTAAAGAAAGGTGACTGCAAAATTGGATCTGTCCGAAAGCTGGTTAGTAATGTGATATTGAAGGCTGGCATAAATCTGTAGAAAGATTATATTTACTCACTTATTTAGTTGTTCTAAATAATATTTTTTTAATCCAAGAAGGTAAATCATTATCTCTCTGTACTAGGAAACAACTTTTAAGGGCATCATTGATAAAAGATGAAAAATGAATTTATATTGAGAAAACTGGTTAGTGTTTCTAATCACCTTCCTCATGAGAGTGGGGCATTATTGAAAGGAATTTCAAAGATAGCACATCAAGATCAATACAGGAAAGGAGTTTCCAGGGAGTCTCCAATTGCATACTCTGGAACTAATTGATAGGATACACTTCAAACCTCAGAATTTTGCTATCTGCATCATAAATGCAATATTTGATGTGAGCAGGCCCAGCAGGAGCAGTGTTTGCTGAGTGCTTTGTTTGTTACCATCTGCCCCAGCCCCAGGACAGACATTTCCAGCTCCTTATCTCACCTCCCCGTGGCTGGGGTTGTTCAGTGGCAATTATTCCTTTATTGCCACCTCCCAGAGGGACTGGGGCTGCTCTGGGGGATAAGCACTGGCCTCTCTCCAGGCCCCAGGGCACTGCAGGTCCTGAGGGCTTTTCCTTTGCTCTCCTGCTTCCATGTGTGTTCCTCGCTGATGATTCTGCAGGGAGCTGCTTCAGGAAGCTCAGCTGAAGAATTTTGTTTCTGTTTTGTCCCTTTGGCCGAGCAGAGCTGCCTGTTCCAGGCTCCTGAAGTTACTGACTCCCTGATGTCGCTCTGATTTTGTAAGACTTTGTTAAGCTTTCTGATATTTACATTCTTTCAACAAACTTTTTCACACACAGTTCTGTAAATAACTTACGTTTTACATTTTTTCATAAGAGCTGCCTGTTCCAGGCTCCTGAAGTTACTGACTCCCTGAGTGCTTGGCTTGGGAAAGGCAGGTGTGCCTTAGCCTCACCTGGATCAGGGCACGCTGCAGGTGGGAGCAGCACACCTGGCAGGATGCACACACTGGGGTGGGATCCCTGGGAAAATAGTTTCTTTTTTGTTCCCCTCGAGAGCAGCAGTGTCTGTGTCATCATTTTGTGCCTTATCACAACACCCTGAGTGCTTGGCTTGGGGTCCCTGGGGGAGGCTCAGGGCAGGGATATCCCCATGGACACTGCAGTGTTCCAGCTCACACCTTGGGAGGCTCAGGGCCGGGATAGCCCCATGGACACTGCAGTGTTCCAGCTCACACCTTGGGAGGCTCAGGGCCGGGATAGCCCCATGGACACTGCAGTGTTCCAGCTCACACCTTGGGAGGCTCAGGGCCGGGATAGCCCCATGGACACTGCAGTGTTCCAGCTCACACCTTGGGAGGCTCAGGGCCGGGATAGCCCCATGGACACTGCAGTGTTCCAGCTCACACCTTGGGAGGCTCAGGGCCGGGATAGCCCCATGGACACTGCAGTGTTCCAGCTCACACCTTGGGAGGCTCAGGGCCGGGATAGCCCCATGGACACTGCAGTGTTCCAGCTCACACCTTGGGAGGCTCAGGGCCGGGATAGCCCCATGGACACTGCAGTGTTCCAGCTCACACCTTGGGAGGCTCAGGGCCGGGATAGCCCCATGGACACTGCAGTGTTCCAGCTCACACCTTGGGAGGCTCAGGGCCGGGATAGCCCCATGGACACTGCAGTGTTCCAGCTCACACCTTGGGAGGCTCAGGGCCGGGATAGCCCCATGGACACTGCAGTGTTCCAGCTCACACCTTGGGAGGCTCAGGGCCGGGATAGCCCCATGGACACTGCAGTGTTCCAGCTCACACCTTGGGAGGCTCAGGGCCGGGATAGCCCCATGGACACTGCAGTGTTCCAGCTCACACCTTGGGAGGCTCAGGGCCGGGATAGCCCCATGGACACTGCAGTGTTCCAGCTCACACCTTGGGAGGCTCAGGGCCGGGATAGCCCCATGGACACTGCAGTGTTCCAGCTCACAGGCAGCACACACACCTTGAGTTCCTAAGCCAGTGTGTCTCTGGTGACTAAAGGCCTGCACTGAGGAATGAGTAAGTGTTTTAGCTTGTCAGTAAAAGTGTGTCAAACTTTGAAGCATGGCTGCATTTGAGGATGTAAATGAAGATTTTTGTCAAATTGCATTAATACAAGTTGTAATGATTTTTTTGTGCTCAAGTCTTGGAACTCCTTGATTTGCTTTCCACATTACAGTGCTGGTTTATTTCTGTTCTCTTTACAGCTGATATAATTTCAACAGTTGAATTTAATTACACTGGTGATCTTCTTGCAACAGGAGACAAAGGTGGCAGAGTGGTTATATTTCAAAGGGAACAAGAGGTCAGTGACTCAAAAAACAAAAGTGTTGTTACTACACTGTTCTTGTGTTGCACAGTCTCACTTCATCTGTTCATGCCCTGAGGTTTAAATGGAGAGTTTTCTCAGAAAACCCCAAGTTAGACAAGTTCTAAGTATCTGCCCTGTGCTGCACTTGGTAAGTTGGTCTCGTGAGGGTTCCCCTCCCTCCTTCCAAAAAAAATCCCCAAAATTCAGGTGAGCTCTTTATATGTACCTGGTGTCCTCAGTATCGCTTTGCAGAATTTGGGCTTTCTCGTGAATTTTTCCAGTGGGTCAGGCTGATCTGGATAAATCACAATGCTTTGGGAGAGAATGTAAAAGAAGTTCAGGAAATAAGCTGCAAGGGCTACAGGATAAGGTCGTTAAAATTGTTTGAGGATTTAGAACTAGTGGGAACAGCCACTTCTCCAGAAACACTTGAGTGTTTCCCATCAGGAGGCTGGGAGCACTGTCCCTCCTGCACTTTCACAGCTCCTCTTCATGAGTTCAGCTGTGTGACAGTGCTGTAATGCTCCTGTGTGTTCATCCTGAGCTGGGATATCCCAAGCAGCAGTGGGGATGGGAAATGTCCACCAAGTGCTGAAAAATAATTGTCATGTCTGGGAGGAATCTGGAATTGTGTTCTTTAAAAAGTCAGTATTCCACATGGCAGTTCTCAGCAGTGTCTGCATATTCTGTCCTTTGTGAGGACATGAGGGGAATTTGAGGGTTTGAGCATTCTCCTGGGTCAGAACTACCAGAATTGATCATGGAATTTTAATTCAGCTTGTCTGTACATGAATATTACAGATCTTCAGGTGCTGTGGGATTTCTCCAGCAGACCCCCTCTGCTCTCTTTGTGGGGCTCAGATGATGCTCTGTTAATGAACATACCTGGGCAGTATTTTGCATTTCTGCTCACTGTGCTGCTGGTCCCAGCCCTGCCCCACAGGTGCCTCTCTGGCTGTACTGGGAGGCTCTGGGGTGCTGAGGTGCCAGCAGTGCTGAAATGTTACCTGGCTGCACCCGTGGCTCCGGGCTCATCCATCATTTACTCGGGTGCCCAGAGGCTTAGCTGAGGCCCAGAGATAAGGTCAGAAGTGCCTCAGGCACATCCTGCACTTCTCAGGATCTTGGACTTGCCTGATGTGGAGGGGGGCTGTTATGGGCTGGCTCTCAGTTGTTCCATAAGGCAAGACCTGCCTGTCACAGCACTTCCTCAGAGAAGGAAAAACAAACCCCAGGTCAGACTGTTCACACAGGAGTATTCAGCTGTCTCCTTGGGAACACATGGAAACTGAGGGAAGAGTTGGGAATGAAGGACATTTCTTTTGTCATGTGCAAAATTGCAGGAAAGAATCTAAAGTAAGTGTATAATGCTGGAACCTTAAAATAATAACCATATTTTTTACCCAGTTTGGATTTAAGATTCAGTTAATTAGGTCAGTGACAGCTTAGGGTGGTTATACAGTTCCCCAGACACTTGGGATTTGGGAAAGCACCCTGGAATGCTCTGCATCATGCCCTGGGCTCATAGGACTGGACTTCACTTGCAAGCAGCAGTTACTGCAGCCAAATGTGAGATAGAAAGCACCAGTGCCAAGGCAGCTCACTCTGTGTGCAGGGAACTTCTGGATGGGGTCAGGTGAGAGGAACCTGCCCAAAATTCTTACAAGTCAATGACGTGTAGGGAGTAAAATGATGTAAAGTCTGAGAGTTCAGTGAGAGCGTGGAAACTCCACAGCCATGAGACACTGCAGGCAAACTGCACCCCTGGGGCTGTTCTGCAGCACAGACCACTGACACCAGCTTACTCAGAAAGCCTGATAACAAGTTGCCTCAAATCTGATAATGCAAATCTGGGGAACCTTGGGACTTCGCTCTCTGTTCCTTGCTCCCACACCACATGAGAATAGCAAAGCCTGAGGGTGCACAGATATTTATGCTTGGGACTTCGCTCTCTGTTCCTTGCTCCCACACCCACCACATGAGAATAGCAAAGCCTGAAGGGTGCACAGATATTTATACATAAACTTCCATTTCTAAAGAGGAAGGGCTGTGTGCACTGTATTGATGCTGAACTGGGTACAGTATCACAGACTGAAGATTCAAAATTGAAGAGCTGTTGTAAAAGCTGATGTTCTGATTGACAGTTTCTAGTGGTTGTTTTGTGTGGGCCATTTCTGAGGGACCCAGTGCCACCAGCCTCAAGAAATGCTCTTTTTCTTGCAGACTAAAAGCCGTCCTCTAGCTCGGGGAGAATACAATGTTTACAGTACCTTCCAGAGTCATGAGCCTGAGTTTGACTACTTGAAAAGTCTAGAAATTGAGGAAAAAATTAATAAAATTAGGTGGTTACCACAACAGAATGCTGCTCACTTCCTGCTGTCTACAAATGGTAAGGGCCCTTTTTTTTGCATTAAGAGCTTTGTCATTGGAATATTGTCTCACTTGCCACACACTTGGGGTTTTTTTTTTCTGACATATTTTGGGGTTGTTTTAATGTTTTCTCTAATTACATGCAAAATACGTTTTGATTGTAATGTTGGCTGTGTGAATATTTGGTCTGTTTTGCTTTGGTGCATCGTGGAGCTTCTGTGAAAGAAATTGTAGAACTGGGTACATGGGTTAGTGGGAACAGTTAGAATTATGTCTTAAAGATATTTTCCTGCCTAAACTATACTGTGGAAAAAACTTGCTCTTATTATCAGAGGAATACATTATTCCTAACAGTTTGGATCACTTTATGAGGTCATGGTGACATTCTAAAAGCAGGAGTGACTTCTGTCTGCTGGTCTGTGCAGTTAAGTCTTAATAGATAGAAGTCTTAATAAAGCATTCTTTAAAGTGTGTCATCTGAAATGCTCTGCAGGAGTTTGGGGAGGAGAGGCTTGGCTCCAGTTAGCCAAGGATCTCACCATTGGGTGAGCCAGGTGTGCACTCACTGCCTGCCCTTGGAACACTTCTTTGGTGACACCTGGCAAGTGCATTCCTTTGGAGCCCCAAAGAGTAGGGCAAATCCTGATCTCTGCCTTTGGCTGGCTCTGAGCAGGTGCCTGGGACAAACCTGGTTGCCTTTAGGACAGTTAATACAAGGAGTTCATGTGTTTGTTGGGTTTGGTCCCTAGCAGTGGTCTCCTAATGCAATTCAGCTAATCATCCAGGGCTTAGTGGGCAATTTGAGTAATTGGTGTGTGAAACTCTCCCCAGGCAGTGACACTTGGGTGCGTGGGGGGCACAGGGCCTTACTGCTCAGGCACAAATTGGGATCTTATTCAAACTGCACCTCATGTTGTGGGTAAAGAACTCTGTCAGGGTCCATGCTGCGTGCAGGGGAACACAGACAGGTCACTCATGTCTGCTCTGCTGAGTCCATATTTAGTGATTTGATTTTGTATTCCATCCATTCTCAAGCATGTGCATTTTTTGGTTGTAGATAAAACTATTAAACTATGGAAAATAAGTGAAAGGGATAAACGAGCCGAAGGTTATAACTTAAAAGATGAAGATGGAAGACTTAGGGAGCCTTTCCGAGTCACAGAACTACGGGTATGTCTCTGCTCTTTGAGTTCCTGTATTTCTCTGCATGCTCTTCTCTGTCTCTGTGCTACCAAACTGAAATGTGCAAATCAAAAATGGTGTTGGTGTCAGGCTCGTTGAAAACCTTCAGAAAAAAATGGAGACACTTCGTGTTCTTAGATATAATAACTGTTTTTAAGAAGTTCCTCTGGAAGGCTTGAGGAAAACTGCCATCATTATAACACTATATTTCTGAGAGGATGACTCAAAAATTGGAATAGGGGATTCTGTGGCTGGATAAAAGTGTGTTTGTTAGAGCAAGTTCCAAGCATTTGAGTAACCTAATGTTACTGGAATAGTCTTGGACATGATGCTGTAGTGGTAGGGTTAGTGCTCCAAACTTGGGATCATTTGGAGCAGCAGCCCAAGAAATGAAAGGTGGGATTAGGTTTTTCCTGGGGTTTCATGTTGTTCCACCATCAGCAGGAGCAGAACTGAGGTTCTCACTGCTCTCAAGGCCACCCCTCCAGGCAGGGACTTCAGCTGGAGGCATTTCTTGGGGGTTTGTCTTGCTTTTGCCCAAGCTGAACATTGAACAGAAGCTTTGGGTGTACAAAATGTGTTGGTAAAGGATATCCACTGCCTCTGTGTGTGCAAGCCAGGGTTGGATTAAGAGTTCCAATGACAGCAGCTAAATCCAGGGACATCCCTTAGGATACAGTGGTAGAAGGAGGTCCCGGTGGAGTTCTGGGTTCTGCAGCCTTGCCCTGCTGGAGCAGGCACCAGCTGGGGCACTGGAGGGGCACTTTGGGCTCCTTAAGGCACTGTCCTGCACGGGGGGAGCAGCAGCAGCAGGAACCTCTCCAGCCAGTCCCCTGCACTTGCTGCTGCTCTGGGCTGCAGCCCTTGCAGGCACTGCAGCCTGGGAGAGGGGCTGATGGATGAGCCAGATCTGAACAAAAGCTGCCTGGAGGAAAAGCCTCACCTGGTACCTTCATGTGTAAAAATGCTGTGGGTTTGGAGAGCCAGAGTGTGCCAGGAGCTTTGGCAGGTTTTGTTACAGGAACACAGTGCCCATGTTCATGGGGACTTGGCTGTGGAGGAGAAGCAGCACTTTACAGAGACCATGGCACTTCCAAGTCCCCTTCCTGATCTTTGCCATTAGTGCACCTGTACTGTCACAGCCAGGCTGGGAGCACTCTGCTGAGATAGGACAGTGGCCTGATCAAAAGTAACGGATTAATTGTAGTTGTTAATTGGATGTAAACAGGCTGGGAGATCCAAACGGGGAAGGCAGGCAGGGAGCTCTGGGCTGGATCAGTCCTTGTTCCATGAGGACAGGTTACCTTGGGCACCCCTGAGCTCGGCTGGCTGTGGGAGAGGACACCGGGTGTGCCTGAATTCCTGCTGACTCTTCGTCAGCAAATTGGGAATTTTCATGGAGTCTGTTCTTGCCAGTTTCCTGAGCACCCTGAGCCTGAGGTCTGGGGACATTTCTAAGGGTTTGTTTACAAACACAGCCCATGTGCTGTTGGGTGAGGCACCAAGGGCTGGCTTTGACTGGGAGGTTTCCTGTTGGCAGTGTCCAAAGTCAGCATCCATGTGCTCTCAATATTTTTTGTGCTCAGTGGATTTCAGAAGTGTTTAGTCACTGAATCAATACAGAAATCTGTGCAGTGCAATTAATTAATTGCCATCAAACAAGCTGTGGGGTTCAGGGCTCAGTGTTGGCGCCAGTTCTGTTTAAGGTCTTTATTGATGATCTGGCTGAGGAAATGGAGAGCAGCCTCTGAGTTGACAGAGGATGGAAGATGAGTGGGATGTGCACCTGCTGGAGGGCAGGAAGCTCTGCAGGGGAAACTGGACAGGCTGGATTTGTGGGCCAGGGCAGAGGGGTAGAGTCCCCATCCCTGGAGGGGCTATGTGTGGCACACAGGGGATAGTGGTGACCTCAGCAGTGTTGGGGGAATGGACTCAATCGGGAGGGTCCTTCCTAAGGCAGTGACCCTGTGCTGGGTGATGTGTGGGGGTCAGCAGTGACCCTGTGCTTGGTGACGTGTGGGGGTCAGCAGTGACCCTGTGCTGGGTGATATGTGGGGGTCAGCAGTCACTGTGCCATGGTGATGTGTGGGGGTCAGCAGTGACCCTGTGCTGGGTGATGTGTGGGGGTCAGCAGTGACCCTGTGCTTGGTGACGTGTGGGGGTCAGCAGTCCCCCTGTGCGGGGTGACTGTGGGGGTCAGCAGTGACTCTCTGGGGGTCAGCAGTGACGCTGTGGTGGGTGACTGTGGGGGTCAGCAGTGACCCTGTGCTGGGTGACTGTGGGGGTCAGCAGTGACTCTCTGGGGGTCAGCAGGGACTCTCTGGGGGTCAGCAGTGACTCTCTGGGGGTCAGCAGTGACCCTGTGCTGGGTGACTGTGGGGGTCAGCAGTGACTCTCTGGGGGTCAGCAGTGACTCTCTGGGGGTCAGCAGTGACTCTCTGGGGGTCAGCAGTGACCCTGTGCTGGGTGACTGTGGGGGTCAGCAGTAACTCTCTGGGGGTCAGCAGTGACTCTGGGGGTCAGCAGTGACCCTGTGCTGGGTGACTGTGGGGGTCAGCAGTGACCCTGTGCTGGGTGACTGTGGGGGTCAGCAGTGACTCTCTGGGGGTCAGCAGTGACGCTGTGCCCAGCCCGTGTGCTCTGTGCCCACTCAGGTGCCAACACTGAAGCCCATGGACCTGATGGTGGAGGCCAGCCCTCGCAGGACCTTCGCCAATGCGCACACCTACCACATCAACTCCATCTCTGTCAACAGCGACTACGCCACGTACCTGTCTGCCGACGACCTCCGCATCAACCTCTGGCACCTGGAGGTCACCAACAGGAGCTTTAGTATCCTTCGGTGCCCTCTGCGCCGCGGGTGCAGCTCAGCTGGGCCTGTGTTTAAGAGAATCACTTCAGTGTTGCTAATTAGAGTGGGTGTTTGAAGCCAGGGCTTAAAAGAGCATTCTGAAGTCTGGAGGTGTAATGCAGTGAAAGCAGGCTTTGGGATGCTCAGTCGGTGCTGAGGGCAAGCGTGCCTCCAGTGGAAAACTGGCAGTAGAAACATTAGAGAGGGTTTGGTTTCTGAGGAGGAATTGTGGGAGCATCCCAAAATTGTGGAGTTCATTCAGCTTAAATAACAGTTGTTGGATGTGAGCAGTAGATCCTTTGTTACTGTGGATAATTCTTTCAAAGTTTGTGGTCTCTTAAACAAGTGACACTTCTCTTGAAACCAGGTCTCAATATTTTTTCATATCAAATGATGCCATTAACTGCAGAGGTAATTTTCAGATCTTTCTGCAAACCTGTGCAACTAAAACTAACAGAGTGCTTTACATTGACAAATCTGCAGTAAAATAAAAGTTGCAGGAGTACTGATGCCTAAATAGGTCAGTTTCTAAAGTTTTAGGTTAGGTTTTCCAAAGCTTTAGGTAAAGAGATGAGGTTTATTTGGTGTGCAATAGGAAGCATTGAGAAGGAGGCTTAGGAGACTTGCTGGACTTTGATTCTTGTGAGATATTCTTTCACTCCAGGAGTCTGAAATTGCCCAGCATCTGGGGTTTGAGACGGAGAAAGCTGGAGAGGCACTTTTTAAAAGAGCATGTGGTGACAGGCCAAAGGGGAATGGCTTCCCAGAGCCAGAGGGCAGGGTTGGATGGGATACTGGGAAGGAATTGTTCCCTGGCAGGGTGGACAGCCCTGGCACAGGGTGCCCAGAGCAGCTGGGGCTGCCCCTGGATCCCTGGCAGTGCCCAAGGCCAGGCTGGGCAGGGCTTGGAGCAGTTTGGTCCCTTCCACCCCAGACCATTCTGGGATTCTGTGACTTGTCAAATCCAGCGTTCTCCAGGCTGTCCCCCGCTCCTGTACCTTACACGCGGTGGGAAGGAAGCTCTTGCCCCAGTTTCCTAGCTGGCATTTTTAAGCTCTGTCACTGATCAGCTGCCGGAGGGGCTCGGGTGTGAAGCGTTGCAGGCCTTGACCAGCTGTGGCAGACATCGTGGACATCAAACTTCCTTCCTTCCTGCCCCCCTTCCTTCCTTCCTTCCCTCCTGCCCGCCCACCCTCCTTCCTGCCTGCTCTCCTTCCTGCCCACGTTCCTTCCCTCTGTCCATCCTGCCCTCTGGCCGTGCTGCTCCGTGGTGGTCCCGAGCTCCCGGGCAGCGCCCGGGCAGCAGTGCTGGGGAGGGCTGGGCAGGTCTCAGCTGCCTTGCTCTGGGCCACCACTGGGCACAGGTGTAGCGTGAGGCACCACCTGGCTGCTCTTTGCCCATCTGTGCCTCATGAACTGACGGGAGCGAGTGCTTCGGGCACAGTGAGACCTGTCTGCCTGCCACGCTCAGGCTGGCTGCCTTCAAGGTATCTGCTCACCCTGTGCCAGTTCAGGGCAGCTCTTGCACCTCTGTGCATTGCAAACTGGGCTGCTGCTGCCGGAATCCCTGTCCCCTGTGACCAGTGCAGCTGCTAGGATAGGATGAGTCCCTAGGAATACACCCTGGAAGTTTCCAGGGATGCAGGGTGGCTGCTCCCTCAGCTGCTGAGCCACCAAAGCATTAGCAGGTCAGGAAAGAAAGCTTTGCTGTGCAAGCCATGAGGATCCTGCCTGGGCCTTGCACACAGCCACGTGTTCTGTCCCTGCTGGCACAGCTGAGCTCTAGCAGTGTGCCCAGCCCTGGGGGTGCCTGCCACAAGGACACTTCCAGGCCAGCTTCCTGCAGTGCAGAGAGGCCTTCCTTGGGGCTAGAGGGAAATACTTGTGCGGTGGGAAGTGACTAATGCAAGGCCATCCCACTGATCTGGTTCAGTGTTGCATTAAATCACTGAAAAGCACTTAATTTTTAACTGCTTGTGACTGATTCACATCCTGCTACAAGGGGTCTTCCAAAAATGAGGGAGATCTGAGTAGCCTGGGTCAGGGATCTCTGATTTCAGAGGTTGACTTGTGGATTTAAGCAGCACATGTGTTGATCTGCTCTCTAAAATCACACAAACTGTGCTGGAAATGTAGCTGCTCACATTGCAGGGTTTGTTTTAGTACAGCTGTGGTTCAGAGCTAAAGGAAAGGACATGGTTCAGTGGCCTCCTGGTGTTCAGGTCGCTGCTGTGCCCACCTGCTGCTGTTGTGGCTGATGTGTAGATCAGGTGTGATGGTTACAGTACCCACTGCTCTTTGCTGCTCTGGTTGATCCCCAAGACCTGTGAGTTGTGGTTTGCTGGTGCTGTGCTCCAGTTGAATGTTGGAGATGGACATCTGGCAGTCTGGTGATCTAGAGCACCACAGTGCTAAAAAAGAGATTATTTCTGATTATTTCTGAGAAGTGTCTAACAGCTAATTTCTTCAGAAATAAACTGGTCACTGATTTAAAATTCTCCAGTACTGAAAACATGGAAACCATAAGAGCTGGCATTGGTTTCATGTGGAACTGTGTGTTCTCTCTGCAGTTTTTGAGGAACCTGAAGATCCTAGCAGCAGATCATTTTTTTCAGAAATAATATCCTCGATATCTGATGTGAAATTCAGCCACAGCGGGCGATACATGATGACAAGAGACTACCTGTCTGTCAAGGTGTGGGACCTCAACATGGAGAACAGGCCCGTGGAGACCTACCAGGTAGAGCCCCCCGTGTGCTGAGCTGTCCCTTTGTCCCCGTGCCCGTGTGCGTGTCCAACGCGTGTCGCTGTCCCCAGGTGCACGAGTACCTGCGCAGCAAGCTGTGCTCCCTGTACGAGAACGACTGCATCTTCGACAAGTTCGAGTGCTGCTGGAACGGCTCCGACAGGTGAGGGCTGGGGGGCAGGGCAGCCTGGGCAGGGGCTCAGCCTGGGCAGGGGCTCAGCTTGGGCAGGGGCCCAGCCTGGGCAGGGGCTCAGCCTGGGCAGGGGCTCAGCCTTGGTAGGGGCTCAGCCTTGGTAGGGGCTCAGCCTGGGCAGGGACTCAGCCCGGGCAGGGGCTCAGCCTTGGTAGGGGCTCAGCCTGGGCAGGGACTCAGCCCGGGCAGGGGCTCAGCATTGGTAGGGGCTCAGCCTTGGTAGGAGCTCAGTCTTGGCAGGGGCTCAGCCTGGGCAGGGGCCCAGCCTGGGCAGGGGCCCAGCCTTGGCAGGGGCTCAGCCCGGGCAGGGGCTCAGCCTGGGCAGGGGCTCAGCCTGGGCAGGGGCCCAGCCTGGGCAGGGGCTCAGCTTGGGCAGGGGCCCAGCCTGGGCAGGGGCTCAGCCTTGGCAGGGGCTCAGCCTGGGCAGGGGCTCAGCCTGGGCTGGGCCGGGCTGGCTGCTCTGAGCGGGGCGTGCCAATGGCACCGGGTCACAAATGTGAGGGCACAAATCCCTGCAGTAGGCAGTTCATACCAACAGCATGGCCAGGGCTGTTCCTGCCCCTGTGCCCAGGTGAGCCCCCACCTGCAGAGCCCAGCACAGGAGGGACCTGGAGCTGCTGGAGAGAATCCAGAGGAGGCACCAAATGATGAGAGGATGGAGCAGCTCTGCTGGGAGAGGCTATTCAGGCTCTTCCTGAAAGGCTGGTCACCTGGAGAGAAGAAGCTCCAGGGTGGCCTCACAGTACCTGAAGGAGCCAAGAAACTGGGGAGAGTATTTACAAGGGCCTGGAGTGCTGGGACACAGGGAATGGCTCCCAGTGCCAGAGGGCAGGGCTGGATGGGATGTTGGGAATTGGGAATGGATCCCTGGCAGTGCCCAAGGCCAGGCTGGACACTGGAGCTAGGAGCACCTGGGACAGGGGAGGGTGTCCCTGCCATGGCAGGGGTGGCACTGGGTGGGATTTAAGATCTCTTCCAGCCCAGACCAGTCTGACTTCTCTTGACAAGGGACAAAGGGATAGAGGAACACCAGGAAAACCTGCTTTGCTCACATGCACATAACAAAGTGTCACTGCAGCTGAGTGCCAGTGGCAGGAGGGGACACCAGGGGAGCACCTGCTAGAAGAAGTGGTGCACTGGAAGCAGTGCTCAAGTCCCAGAGGAACGGAGCTGGTGCCCACTGGAGAGGACAGGAATGGAATGCCATGGCCTGCTGATGAGCGTGGTCTGACAGTCACAGGTCTGACCGAGAGGAAGGGGTGGATTTTATTTCTAACGAGGTGTGCCTTCCTTTTCCTCGAACCAGTACAATCATGACTGGATCTTACAACAACTTCTTCCGGACGTTTGATCGGAACACGCGCCGGGACACCACCCTGGAGGCCTCCCGGGAGAGCAGCAAGCCTCGTGCCATCCTAAAGCCACGCAAAGTGTGCACAACCGGCAAGAGGAAGAAGGATGAAATCACCGTCGACAGTCTGGACTTCAACAAGAAGATTCTGCACACAGCATGGCACCCCATGGAGAACATCATCGCTGTAGCTGCCACCAATAATTTGTATTTATTCCAGGAAAAGGTTAACTAAGGATGGCTGCCCGCGGACAGAGTCTCGTCTCACATAGTTCAGCTCAGTTGTTTTTCTGTAACAGAAGGCCTTGTTGTCCTGTCAGTGAGGAACATTGATGCACTTACTTCCCTTGAGCTGTCGGAGAGCATCTGGCCTGGCTTTGAGTTCCTGGCGTGGTTCTGCCTTCGGTGGGGTGGGAGCATCCACGCGGCTTTCGGGGAGGACCCTCCGAGGCAGAATTGGTGGACAGTGCTCAATGAGGCCAACACTCAAAACAAATGTATTTATTGATGTCTGAGCCTTCCTTTCCAGTTTATAGACCAAAAAGTTTAACACCTGAGAAGCAAAAGTTGTCACAAAAATGTAATTTCTCTCTCTCGCTCTCTCTGCTGTAATATTTGGGCCTTTCAGAACATTTCTCGTGCTTGATGCCTGTCCGTTCCTCCTCGGGCCCGGGCCAGGGCCTGACCTCGGAGCAGGGCTTGAGCTGGGGTCTAGGCAGGTGTCCATGGCTATTTACCTGTACCTATAACCACACCTTCTGGTGGAAACCACTTAATAAATAACAGCCTATCAAACGTGTTCTTAGAGCTGGAGGGATGTATTCAGTCTACTTTTTGTATTGCATGTCCTGAGCTGGTGCAGAACAGTTCTGGTGGCACCTCTGACAGGGTTTGCCCCAAAACACCAAGTTTTTGGCAGACTAATCCAAACTTTTTTGTGTAGTATTTCAGATTCTGAATTTAGAGTTTCCATGGCATTGTCATAGAGTTGGAGTTGCACTGGATTTGTTGTCAAAGGCTCTGTGTGTGCCAAGCAGGAGATGGAAAGGGTCCTAGAAACATCCACAGCCTTAACCAAGTGTCGGCCTTGCACGGAGGGAACCGAAACGTGGACACCTTCTCTGCCCTGAGGGTAAGCGTGCGGCTTCCTGGTGCATCTCACCCTCAGGCAGAGACACACCTGACGTGCGTTATGGTTTTTAACCTTTTTAGTATTTGTCACAAAGGGAACAGTTTATTTTAAGTATCTGGCGTGGAATCTTGCATTTCCCACTGCAGTTCAAGAGCCACTCCGGGCTGGGCTGCCCAGGGAGGCCCCGGCTGGCGGGCCAGCAGCTGCTGGAGCTCTCTTGCTCACTTGTTTTAAGCCTTAGGTACTGTTTCTTTCTTTGTTTTTTTTTTCTTCCAAAGAGGCCTAAATCGCATCCCCTTCCCCCGGATGAGCCCGGGGCCGTGTCCAGCAGCCCCCAGCAGCCAGAGGCTGCACTCTGCCAGGTGCCTGCAGCCCGGGAACTCCTTCCCAGAGCCCCAAGCTTTCCCCCAGCCAGCCCCAAGTGGTTACACTCCGTTTTCCCTGGAACGAAGGCGTGTTCCAGTCCCAAGAGCAAACCGTGGCCGTCCCGCCCTCCCGGTACCGCCCCCCGAGCCGCTGGGTCCCCGGAAGGTGGGAAGGACAAAGCCCGAGGTTCTCCCGGGAAAGGCTCGGTCCAGCCGCTCCTGTGCTGTTCGTTGGTTGTGACACTTTGGAGATGTGGAACTGGGGGGTCGCTGAAGCGTTGATCCGACCGCGTTCCCAACGCCCGCTCGAGCCGATCCGTGGGGTTGTACATAATTGTTCAGTTCTTTTGACCAAAAAGTTTAATAAATTTTAAATGTTTACCTGGCTGTGCTCCCTGCGTTTCCTTCTGTGTGGGAGGGAATTGGCTGGATGGGCCAGCCCAGGGGGTGTTCCCAGTTGGGATGGTCGGAGTGGCCGGGGCTGCTGCCCCCGCTCCAGGACACGGCAGCACTGGCCGGTTGTGGATCTGTTTTTTCAGCAAATACAAGTGGAATATCCCTGAAAAGGATATGGTGACATTTCCTCTTCTGCAGCCCTGTTTGCTTGTACCACTTTCAATTAGCTTTTGACTATTCTCATGAATTTTATCTAAATTTTATCAAAAACCAGATTTTCATGTCCAGTTTGGTAAAACCTTGGCCTAGTGCACCCCGGTGTAGTGAAAGGTTGTGCTCCCCATGGCAGGGGTGGGACTGATGGGCAGAGCTGGGTGGGCTTTCCGTGGTCAGGCCAGGAACTGGGGATTGAAGTCCCCAGCAGGGAGGAGTGGGTGAGCATGGAACGCTGCAGCACCTCACTGTGCCCTAGTGCTGCCCCAGTGGGGGGAAGGAGCTGGGGGACAATGGCAGCGAAAAAGGGACACCATGGTTTAACCCCTTCCCTTCTCCAGCCAAAGCCCAGTGCTCAGCAGGGACCTGCTGCTCTCAGTCCCACAGGAAATGGAAGTGGCACCGGAGCATTCAGGGGTTCCAATCCCACCTTTGCTCTTGGCTCCGGCCTCAGGGGAGAGCTTTGGATGGGAGGTAGGAAAATTTCCCTCCTGGAAAGGGCTGCCCAGCCCTGGCATGGCTGGAGTCCCCATCCCTGGGGGGATTTCACAGCCCTGTGGATGTGGCACTTGGGGACAGGGGCAGTGGTGGCCTTGCACTGCTGGGAATGGTTGGGCTCCATGGGCACACAGGGCTTTTCCAGCCTCAGCAATTCCATGGTTTCCAGCTCCTCAGGAGCATCACACCCCTGTGTGTGTGCAGGTTACCCTGCTGAGGTTTGCTTGATGCTGTTTCCATGGAAACTTCTCAATTCCACGTCAGGAAGTGACCAGTGGGAAAGGGGCAGGCAGAGGCCAAGAGCCTCATCAGCCCCCAGAGAAAAAGGAATGAGGAAACTCCGAGTTCACCAGGAACCTTTTTATTTAAATATATAAAACATGGTATTTTGGCAAACATTCATCTTCTCATTAAATAAGGTAAAATCACTGAAGGGAAAGGCATTGCATCAGTAAAAACCAAGGAGAAGCCACCCTGGGGTTCATCTGCCCAGGGCTGGGGTCAGGTGCAGATTTAAGTGGGACAGGAAAAGCCTGTAAGCGACAGCCTGCGGTAGGTACAGCAGAGAACCTGGAGTAACTGCTGGGGGTTAAATAAATGTCCTGGCAAAAGCAGCTTTTAGTAGGCACTAAATCCAAATTCTAGGACAAACTGATGGAGTTTTACCCACGTGCTCATCTCTTCCCACTGCCTCAACACCTTACACCTCCCACCGAAGTGAACTAAGCAACACCTACCGGAGGAAAAGCTGCCCGGGGCGGCGAGAGCCCCCGGGGATTCCCGGATCCATCTGTAAGGCCACTCGCAGTCCGGGCTCATCCCTGCCCGTGGGGGCTGCAGGAGCAGTGACCACATTCCCTCCCTCCGCAGGCACAGGAGCGGGCGGGATGGACGCGGGACCCATTTAAACACGGAGCTGCTCTAATTCTCAGGTACTTCACTACAAAGCACTAAGGGACATTACAGCATCTGCCACGTGCTCGTGGGGTTGATCCAGCAGGGATTGATCCAGAAGGCTCTATGTGACACGGGAGCTCCAGCGTCTCCCTAAAACAGGACATGGACAGGACACACACACGAGGGCCACGACCAGCTCCCCTTCCTGTGCACCTCCTGCGCTCCGGCTGCTTGGCTCCGGCTCCAGCCCCCGGCTGCCTCTAAAAGGTGCTGCTGGAAGCCGTGGTGGTCAGGCGCCTCCCGATGTAAATCCTGCCGGGTCAGAGCACACGCCAGGCTGCATTTCAGTGCTCTCCCGGCCAGGCCCCTGCCCTTCCCGGCAGGAGCAGCACTGCCAGCTGGAACCCAGCGGGAACAACCGGAGCCCAGCCCCAGGGAGTGCCCCAGGTCTGCTACCCTCCCAGCTCCAGGGCCCAGACCTGCCCCCAGGCCCCTGTGGAGAGGAAACGTCCCCATTCCTCCCAGGAGGGAATTAAAAATCTACTGAATAATTTAAAATAGTATTAAATATTTTTAAATCTATGTCAGTGGAACTTTAAAATCTATTCAGTATTAGGTTTTTGCTTTGCTGATCTCCTTAGTTGTGAGACTGAGTCTCATCTCCAGTAGAGACAAGTGCTGTGTGACTACAGTTCCAGTGTACAGAATTCCTCATTTCCCTGCCTCTTAATTGTTCTGAGAAATTCCCAACCAGGGAGAAAATCAGAAAACTTAAACCATCCAGCAATACCGCAGGCAGGAAGCACTTCCTGAATAACCACCTTGGACAAAGAGGGAATTGGGAATCAGAATCAGGCCTCAAAGAAAGCAGATAAAAAACCCTTTTTTTTTTCAGTTGAACCTTACCCCAGTCCAATGGCCAGCAGGTGAGAGAGCAGCAGGGAAGGGAGGAAAACCTTCAGGAATTCCGCAGAGAATATCCCCCCTTTCTTCATGACACTGGTGTTCCTCATGCTGAGCGTGGCTGTGCGCCGGGGGTGCTTGAAGAGGAATTCCCTGGATTTGGGGGAGGAAAGTGAGGTGTGTGTCCAGCCAGGAGGAGAAGGCGCAGGAGCTCTCCCAGCAGCTGTGGCAGCACTCACTTGGGCGGGATGTTCTCGGGCCGGCTGGACCAGTCCCAGATCCAATCCGCGTTCTTCCTCAGCAGCCGCTCCACCTCCCTCCTCCTCTCCAGGAAATCCTCCTCAGACTGCAACCGAGAGCCACCAGCACTGAGCAGGGAGCAGCTGGGAGCTGCCAGAGCTCCTGCCAGAGCCAGGGGCGCTGCCCAGGAGCCCTGACAGCCCCCTTCCCATCCCCCTTCCCATCCCCCTTCCCACCCCCCGGGAGTGTTCACATCCCACATCAAGAGCGGGAGCAGGGAGAGCCATCCTCAGAGTGGGGTGAGAATGGCAAAGACCATATCCCAGATCCCATATCCAATATCCCATATCCAATATCCCATATCCCATATGTGCCTGAGACAAGACTGCCTGGCAGTGAAATCCCAGAGCCCAGCGTTTAATCCTTATGCACAGTCCCAAAATATCCCCAGCTCCCAGCCCTGATGGACACTGGGCACAGGGATTCCTGCCCCATCCCAGCTCCCAGCCCTGATGGACACTGGGCACATGGATTCCTGCCCCATCCCAGCTCCCAGCCCTGATGGACACTGGGCACAGGGATTCCTGCCCCATCCCAGCTCCCAGCCCTGATGGACACTGGGCACAGGGATTCCTGCCCCATCCCAGCCCTGATGGACACTGGGCACAGGGATTCCTGCCCCATCCCAGCTCCCAGCCCTGATGGACACTGGGCACAGGGATTCCTGGCCATGCCCAGAGCTGGCAGATGTCACTGGCAGTCCTTGTGCAGTCCCTGGGCCGTGCTGGCAGGCAGCTGAGCCTGGCCAGGTGTGTGCCCACAGAAGCCCCCCAGCCCAGCTCTGCTGCAGCTGCAGCACAAACGCTGAGTCAGGGCAGAGCTCCTGGCTCAGCTCAGCTCCATTCCACACAGCCCAGGCCTTGGGATAAAAATAGATCCTGCTCCCAGAATTCCAACAGCTCTTGATGCACACACACACACGGGGGATGGAAATAAAACTGCCCAAGCAGCTGGAATGCTGATGGCTTTCTAACTTGGGGTTATTTGTTCTCAAAGTCTAAATAATGATCTTTAAACAGCTGAAGGGTGTTTCTGACAATACAAAAGAATCATTTCCAGTAATAATTAACTTGCAGTACCACATTTAGCTAACCTAAAGCTGGGTCCTCAGAGTCTGGCAGGAGCTGTAGAAATGATGCAGAAAAATTCACTTCCTTGAAATACTTCCTTCCTCAAAATGCTTTGTGAGTAATTTTTTTCATATTAAAAGCTAATTTATTACACTGAAGACTTCAGATTTCAGCCTGTCATCCTGCAATAAGCCCTGTATTGATTCAATATGGTCAGTGTACATCCTTTCCCCCACTCTTGTTGCAAATGTGTTTATTCATTCTCCTTGCAAGGTAAACAAAGTAAAATCAGAAAGAACAGGGAGTTTTCCAAAGCAGCACATATTCAGGTTTGTATTAATTGCTAAAATACCTGGAATCAGAGGTATGGCAGGGCTTGGGAATTGTGTACTTTTGGCTGCCATATTTAAGTGACTCTAGAAATTCTTGCTGCTGTCAAAATATCTTTTAAAATTCCTACTGAACTGGTGGGGGATGCAGGAAATGCCCCCTGTCAGTAGCCAAAGGGAGAGGGCAAATCCTTCTGAAAAATCTCAGTCACAGACTGGAAAGGCCAAACCAAAACATCCCCACGTGTCAGCAACAAACACAGGCAGCCTGGATCTGCCAGGGTTGTGAATTTGTGAATGTGTGAGTTGTGGAAGTCTCTGCTTCAGCAGCCTCCACTGCTCCTGCCCCAAGCACAGGGAGTCAGAGCTCCCCTCTCCCAGCACGGTCAGCACCTTACCTGGAAGCTGTTCTTCTCCCCACTGCTGTGGCTCTCTATCTCCAGAGCTCTGTGGCTGTCCTGGGGGGTCTGGGAGCGAGGAGGGCTGCACCAGGGACAGAAGCACCAGGAAAGAGGAGGTGAGGTGTTGTGGGACACCCTGGGAGCTGGGCACTCTGCAGCCCAGGGGCTGCACGGGCACTGCTGCCACAGCCCAGGCACTGCTCTGATCCCCACCCCTGCCCACGCTGAGGGCCCCTGGCTGGCACAGAAACCACGGGCAGCACACAGGGAGTGGCAGTGGGCTGTGCTGTGAATCCCCAGCAGCCAGGCAGGTCCCGCTGTGGAGTCTGAGTGCTGGGCTTTGGGCTTTTCCAAACACAGTTTGGGCTGGAGAC